CATACACACACTGGCATTCAGACACCGGCATACACACACACATACACTGGCATTCATACACCAGCATACACACACACATACACTGGCATACACACACGGGCATTCAGACACTGGCATACACACACATACACTGGCATTCATACACCAGCATACACACACACATACACTGGCATTCATACACCAGCATACACACACACATACACTGGCATACACACACGGGCATTCAGACACTGGCATTCAGACACCAGCATACACACACACATACACTGGCATACACACATACACTTCATCCCCAGCCACCCTCCTCTCTTCCTTACCATTTCGTCGCAGGAGGGTGGCTGGGGATGATGGGCATCGGCTGCCTCTCCTCATGCTGCGTCCTCCTTCCCGCGCGGAGTAAAGTAGGAGGAAGTGACCGGACGTCACTTCCTCCCAGCAGCACTTGCTTCCGGCTGCATTTTTTTTTTTTAAAGGGGCCCGGTCGCGCTATTACAGCGCTAAACGGGCCCCTGAAATTAATAGGGCCCATTGGGTGGCCCTAAATGATTGGGGCCACCTGATGGGCCCCATCAGCGTGTGGACCCCGGTGCAGATGCACCGGCGGCAGTTCCGCTGATCCACGTGGGGCCCGGGCGGCCGGGCCCCCCAGGGCCGCCGGGCCCGTGACAATTGTCACGGTTGTCATGCCCTGATGGCGGCCCTGCATAACAAAATTGTTGCAAGCGTTTAGGATTTGCAGTCACTTGTTTTTTTATCACATTTACACCTAGCTATCCTAGAGGCAATTTTTTTTTTTCACTTTTTTAGGGGATAGATAATAATATACTGACCGTAGGCGGTAGTAAGAGATTTAAAGGTTGGTTATTTGATTATAATAGGAAAATGGTTCTTATATAAACTGATAATTAATAGGATGCTGAAGTTGCTGGTTCCCTTTCTCTCTCTCTCTCTCTCTCTCTCTCTCAGACACTCCGAGTTTCTATACCCCTCCCTGTGGGATTCCATGGGATTCCCAATACGTGGAATATTTCTTGTGTTCCAGGCTTTTATGTAGATATGAATGTCTTCATGTTGTTTTGACAGGTGTGTAATATGTTTAACTGGTCATGCATATTGCAGATATGGTCAAGGAGCCCAAAAAAGAAAAATAGACTAAGATATGGTTAGAGTCCTATTTATTAATGCCCAAGGCCTTAATTATTTTGTTAAATGAGGTTATTTGTATAATACCCTTGTTAACCAGAAAATACAAGCAGGGTTTATTCAGGAAACCCATTGGACTGGGGAGTCTAGGAAATTATGGTTCTATAAAAAATATCCCTTGATTTACTCTGCATCTTTACAAGGAAAAAAGAAATGTGGTGTTTCAATAATTTTCTCTAAGGAAGTTACTTTTGATTGTTGTTTTAACCATTTAGACCCGGAAGGGAGGTTTATCATTCTGGTGGGCCAACTGAACGGGACCAATTATACTTTAGTCAATGTGTATTTACCTAATAAAGACCCAATTAAAACAGTGACTAAAATTTTAGGTCTGGTGGAACAGGTTAAAAAAGGCAGAGTTATGATTGCAGGTGATTTTAATTGTATTTTTGACACTTTATTGGACAAGCAATTGGCTAAAAATCAGAGGACAGATAAATCCCTGAAAAGACAGGCAGCGTCATTAAGTAGAGTGATAAAGAAAGCGGATTTGTACGACTGCTGGACATTGTCCCATCCCAATGAAAGGAATTTCCCGCATAGATCTATCCCTCACAACTCGGCTGCCAGGATAGATATGATTTTGGGTAACTTAAATCTAGTACAGGCGATCTCCTCAATTTCCATTGTTGAAAATACCTGGTCAGACCATAATATGGTAATTGCAGACTTGGTGGTAACTAATATGAGATCCCCCCCAATTTGGAGATTGGCAGATTATCTGTTAAAAAATAAAGCAAATGTAGAACATATAGCGAAGTTAATTGATCTTTTTATTAAGGAGAATACATCTGAGGGGTTATCCAAGTAATGCCTATGGTGCTCTTGTTAAGTAGTTATTAGGGGACACTGGATTAAATTAGCAAGCCACCAAAAAAGGAATATAGACAATATTTTGTTCGATCTTTATATTGAATTTTACAATCTTTCTAAAGCTAACAAACAATCTTATTCTGAGGAGAGAGCATTATCTATTAAGGTCTGCCAAGAAAAGATAAATGTTCAGATTAAGAACAGGATAGAACGTAATCTAAATAAACTCAATATTAAATACTATTACAAGAACAATCGTGTTGACTCATTGTTAACAAATAAATTAAAGAAAAAGACGACGGATCAAAAGATGTCCAAACTAGGAGATGGAATTAATTATATCTATAAGCCAGATGAAATTGCCAGCAAATTCAGATCTTTTTATGCAAAATTATATAACTTGAATAAATCTCCCGACCTAGGCATGTTGGAGAATTACTTGAGAAAATCTAATTTATCAAAAATATCTTATGACCAAAAGGAAAGGCTTAACAGAAGTATATCTCAGAATGAAGTCAATTTAGCAATTGATAAGCTTGTAAATAGTAAAGCTCCTGGTCCGGATGGGTATACGAATCTGTTCTCTAAGGTTTTTAAAAAACAATTACTCCCGCTGAGACCTTTAACGAATTGGCGATCAAAGGGTCTGCCTCCCTAGATCTGTTAAGGGCACATATTACTCAGATTTTGAAGCAAGGTAAAATCCCCTATGAAGTGAGTAATTATCGTCCTATTTCTCTGGTCAATGTCGACGTTAAACTTTACGCCGCAATTTTTGATTGAAAATAGTTTTGCCATCACTCATTCATCGGGACCAGATAGGCTTTATGCTGGGTAGGCACTCCTCTAATAACATGCGTAGGGTGCTAGATCTATTGGATTGGGCTCGGACTGAGGGAAACCCCCTCCTGACCCTGTTGGTGGATGCAGAAAAAGCCTTCGACAGGGTTGGATGGGGGTTCTTACGGAGAACTCTATCGCAGTTTGGCTCCGAGGGGTGGTTTATGGGTGCGGTAGGAGCCATATATTCGAATCCCACAGCCCGCATAGTAGCCCGTGATTTATGCTCAGAATGGTTCAGTATTAATAATGGGACAAGGCAGGGGTGTCCGCTCTCTCCCCTATTATATGTTTTATCAATAGAACCTCTGGCCAATAACATCAGGCAAAATGTGAGGATCAAAGGACTGGGAACTCAGGATGATGAATGAAAGGTATGTTTGTATGCAGACAATATTCTAATTTCTATTACTGACCCACACGTTACTCTTCCACACTTAATGCAAGAATTTGATAATTATAGTAGTGTCTCTAATTACAGCCTGAATATGAATAAAACAACAGCTATGTCCATTAATATACAAAAAGATAAATTAACTTCCTTAAAGAAAGATTTTGATTTTAAATGGACGGAAAAAGAGTTTACATATTTGGGGGTGATTATCTCTGCAGATACAAGGCGGACCATGGAAATTAATTTTTTGAAATTGTTAAGAGAATGGAGAGTTCATGAAATTTCCTGGTGGGGAAGGATTAATACCATTAAAGCTTATATATTTCCTAAATGGGCTTACCTATTTGGTATGCTCCCTCTCTCGATCTCTTGCCACTGGTTAAATATGCTACAAAGTAGTATTACATCTTATATCTGGAGAGGGAAGAGACCAAGAATCAATACACATACTCTATCAAGTAAGGCCCAACAGGGGGAATGGGCTACCCCTTAATTACTCAAGTATATCAGGCCAATATGCTGGTCCATGCTAGTAATTTACAATTAAGTGATTTCCAAAACCAGGCTTGGTACAAAATGGAGTCAGCTAGAATTGGACTAGATAATTTTGAGCTTCTCCTATGGAGAGAGGAAAGCCAGAATAAGCAAATGGGCGAGATTACATTCCAGTCTCCCTTGTCTTTATCACAAACATTAAAAGAATGGAATACTATAAAGAAAATTCTGAATATTAATAAAAAAAACTTTATGAGAACCTTAGTTTAAGGTCTTTAGAACACTATATGTTAGAGATTAACTTGGTAAACTGGTATAACATTTTTACCTATAAGATAAAAATCTTTATAGTGAACAACAATTGAAAAGCTTTGAAGTTCTTAAAAAATTGTTGGATTTACCTTCTAGAGAAATATTTAACTACCTCCGTATTAAGAGCTATCTTAAAGATAATATACTAACATTAGATGGTTGCTTGGGTAAACTATTTAGGAAAATCTTCTCTGGTTTTATGGTAAAAAAGGTGTTCTCTCGCTTTAACTAAATGGGACAATGATTTAGCAATATCTATTCCATATAACAATTGGTATAAATCCTTTACGATGACTAAAAAAGCCATTCACTGTCTGAACATTCTAGAGACCTTTACCAAAATCCTGTATAGATGGTATCTGGTACCGACTAGACTTGCAAAAATATCCAATACAAACCCGTCAAATTGCTGGCGGTGTTTTCATCCAGACGGTTCTCTGCTCCATATTTGATGGGCTTGTCCCAGAATTAATCCTTTTTGGAGTATTTCATTTAATCTTATCTATAGGATTGGAGGTATATGCCTGGAGCATAAAGCGGAAATTGCCCTACTTCATCTTATGGGTTCAGAAATAAATGATAATCTTGATATTGTGATTATACATCGTCTAATGGCAACTAAAATATTAATTGCTAGATTTTGGAAAAGTACTGAGCTTCCTACTAGAGACCAAGTTAAAACTTAATTACTATACCAATTTGAGATGGAAAAAGCGTTGATCCTCATGAATGGTTATTTTAACGTTAATATTCTGATGCTTTATTCCAACCTTATTGACAAGTTCAGAGGGTTTTAATGAGGTGAGCTTAATGGAAGAACGTATTATGACCTACCTAGATTCAGATGAAACCCAATATTGGATAATACCTCATGGGCTCTTTGACCATATATTTGATACTAGTTGTAATTATTATGGGATTTTTGACCTGCCATATTCCTATATTATCTTGGACCAGTTTTGTTTGTATTGTATGTCCTATTTTTGTGGGTATTGGTTTTTGTTGGAGTGTGATTCTTCTATACTTTTTAAATTTTTACGCATTGGAAGGTTTATCTTCTACATATATATATGATGTAATTTGCCATACCTGTGTGTTTTACCCGGGAAAGGATGTTTTTTTTGTAGTACCTTTCTCGGTTGTGTACCGCATATTTATATTGTTATAAAACTCAATAAAAAGATTTATTAAAAAAAAACAACAAAGTAACCAAATAAGCTGCG